ATATTAATAACCCTGAGTAAATACCTAAGTATTATTAGCTCTTGACGATATCTATATATCAACGAGCTAATTCATTAATTCCTTAGTATGATTATGGGTGTTATTAGGGCTTCCTGTGATATGAGTTGTCGATATATATACTAGTAGTAATATATATTATAAGTAAGAGAAGAGCAGAGAGAGTAGAAAGAGAGAGAGAGAGAGAGCAGAGAAGCGAAATAAGAGAGATTCGGACGAGGGAGGGAGAAGGAATGAGGGAGCGGCGAGAGAGGAGAGCAGCGAGAGACACACACATACCGTCAGCACACACAGCTGGGCCACGACGAGCAGTGGTGACGCCCCGCGCGACCGCACAGACCACACACACACAACTACACCACAGCACACACACACACACCAGACAGACAGAGCAGACAGACAGACAGACAGACGAGACAGACAGACAGGCAGGCAGGCAGACAGACAGAGCAGGAAAACAGATCAGACAGACATGACATGCAGACAGACAGACAGAGCAGACATAACAGACAGACAGACAGACAGAACAGACAGACAGACAGACAGACAGACAGACAGAAGAGAAGTGAGGACAGGGGGAGGAGAGCGAGGGAGCGAGATAAAGAGCGCGACACAAGAACAAAGAGAGCGGGCGAGAAAAGATACAAGACCCGAAAGGGAGAGAAAATGGAACAAGGAAATGGGAGAGAGAGAGAAAATGATTAATGATGTGTATTAATCCGCTTTGCTGAGCCGAAAACAGCACAATGTATATGATAAATATACTTACTCCTATATAAAGTTTGATAAATGTATAAATTACTAATGTAAATATAACAAATATCCTAGGCGACTACATATTAATCACTTCTGCTTGAGTTCATCGTGGTTTTATCGACAGCATTATATATTGAATGTTATAAATGGTTATCGTTATGGTGGTAATACACGGCTTATACTATGGTTATATAGTATTTCGCACTGCCACAAGCTGTGACAGATCTAGAGGCGAAATGCTGTATCGCTAGAGCTGTCTTACGAAATAAGAGGCAGCCTCTGGCTATAGGGACGTCAATACAACCCATCATTTTGCCTACGCGCAATGCACATGCGATTATCTCATGTGCATATATTCTTCTACCGTTGCATTTTATGACATGCTTCTACCATTGACAACCAGCGTGCCAACAGGAGGCTAGCATCGTAGTCTCTAATGTGGCATCTTCGCGGGCTGTTACAGTGTGTGTTTGTTCTGTTTGCTGTCGTGTAACTGGTTAAATGTTATCAGCGTCATGCATACTCTTCTTGCTCTTCCTCCGCCTGCTCCTCCATCTCATTCCTTTCCGTCGGCCGCCGCTAAGCTGCCACCACCGACGATGCTCATCCTCTATCTCGCTCCTCCTCCTGCCTCCTCCTCCTCGCTCCTCGAATTCGGAGCTCAACTACTCCTGCTGTCTCCTCCTGCCTCCTCCACCCTCCTCATGCAATCGGTCCCTGCTCTCTGTTATTATTTTGTTCTTCTTCTCCTCCGCATGTGTCCTCGATTCGCAACCCTCCTGCTTCTTATCATCACTCCTTGCTGGTCTAGCCCACCGTCCGCTCCTGCCTCCGCGCGTTCCCCTAGTCGTTATGTAACCACGTATGGCTCTTGCCTCGCTCCTTGCCTCCTTCTCTAAACTCGCTCCCCTCATGCCTCCTCCGGTCCCGCTCCGCTTCCTCCCTAATATATATTGTATAATATCATTATAACTCCACCCATTTCCTCCGGTGGCATCGCTAGAGTTATATGCGCTTACAGCGCGTTCGTAACCGTTCATTACTATGTATTTCGTGTGTGTTGCCGCGTTCTATATGCCCACGGGCAATGAATGTTTCAATAATTAAATGATGGTAAATAAGACACGAAAATGTATTTACTAACCGCAATAGCCTCATGTTTCTCTAGCTCTCTCGCCCTTAATTTATTAACCGATAATTTCCGTGCTAAATTTGCCTTGCTCTGCAACACGCAGTCACGCACGCACGCCCGCTGCTGTTACATAACAAGCAAAATTATAGAGCAGAACGAAAGCGTGAGGGCGAAAACATTCGCGCCGACGTTCTATAATTTTGTCCTGCATGGAACTAGTTCACCACCATGATGTCGAACATACAACGACGCTCCCGTAGCGTAGTAGCCTCGCGTACACATTAACTGACCTGCGGTCGTGCGAAGACAAATGTATGTAATTAATGGATACTTGTTAGGGGCCATTCACGGTTCGCCCTGTTCGTGTCCATTCGTACTGGCGTCGGGAGCGTGTTTATTACCGTATTGTACGTGTCGCCTGAAGCAGCTTTGGAAGCCCTGATCTATGTGTGGTTGGGAGTTTGCGACCTGTATAACCTCTAATGCCACGCAAGATCGGAAGATCGTTACGCGCGCGCCGCTCTTATGATTGACCCATGATTCGACAGCGCTATATTATAATATAGTATAATAGTAGAGAGAGAGAGAAAGAGAGAGGAGAGAGAGAGAGAGAGAAGAGAGAGGGGAGAGAGAGAGAGAAGAGAGCGAGAGAGGACGAGAGAGAAGAGGAGAGAGAGTTGAGTGAGTGAGTGAGTGAGTGAGTGAGAGAGAGAGAGAGCGAGATGATAGATATGGATATCTATTGTCGATAAACTACACGAGTGTATAGTATAAACCATAGGTTGTGCCAATGATGTGATTGACTTTGAATTCCAATCTCAATCTCCGCGTGCATTTTATCACCGCTGTGCCTCACGTTATGTTTGCAGGGACTGGAACATTCGGCAGGGTAGTGCTGTGTAGAGACCGGGAGACGAAATGCTACAACGCGCTGAAGATCATGGCAATAGAGGACGTCGTGCGACTAAAGCAGGTGCAACACGTTAACAACGAGAAGAACATACTGGAGACAGTGAAGCATCCCTTCCTCGTCAATCTGTGAGTATTACGACGAGCCAGATCATGAACCTATATCTTGTATACACAAATGTGTAGTATTTACTAGCTCCAAGAAACGGTTATATATTACTGTACCATACGTGTATCTTACAGCAGTGTTGGGCTAAGTATTAACTATTACCGTCAACGTATTTGCACGTCACATAGATATGTTATATTATATATTGCGTTATATTGCGCGTGTAGACTGTACGTAGATTGCAAACCCGCGGGCTTACTTCGGGGTTGATTCTCGACGTGATGCGGCCATGATGCCGAGGCGCGCCGAGGATTGACACTTTGTGTCTTCCAATCACAGCGTACGCCGCACCTCTCCATTATAATTTCAAAGGTGGGGACCCATTGAGGTACGAAATCGCCGATCTCAAGAACTAGGGCATTCTGCTAGGCTAGAACAGTTTCCTACGATAGAGTTTGGCACAAAAACGAAAATAACACGCTGTTTAGCGCACTGCGCTACGTCCTTCTGTTGCATTTCCGCATCTCCGTAATCAGAATAAGCCCCGCCTTCTTCGTTGATGGACATGAATGGGGCGTCACCGACGTGACCAGTTCCTTTCCCCAGCCTGTTTACTTTTCGTAAATAATTAAATGCCCGGCCGATGCATTTCGCATTGAACAGGAAAATTTTCTGCATTTCCACTCGCTGTTGGAAGTGAACGAGTGCGTCATTCATTGAACAATTCAATAAAACACACACAATGTTCGGAGCTAACGTTTACATGCCACAGCGCCATCTCTTGGATGTTTTATAAGTAAATATGGAGATTTTCAATAAAATAATGCATTTTTATATGTATCTACCACGATTTACGTATAGAAACTATAGGTTATTTTTACTGATTTCTCCGTATCTTTCATTGGAGTTTTCATCGTCTTTCAATGTCTTTCGGTAGGTTTTCTGCGTGAATATTATTTTGCGCAGGCGCTCATTTTGGAAATCCTCCAACATTTTTACTTCTTCCTTAGTTAAGTTAGTCCATCTTTCACTGTTATTTAGGAAGGAGGGTCAAACTGTGCATTCGTATAATTTAAATCTTGCTTCTATAGTATGATTTCCATAATTTTGCTCTTCTGCCCATGATAATATTTTCCTCATCATGAACCTACATTTTTCAGTTCGGACTCTTATCATATCGTTATAATCTCCTATATCATTAATTAAATCCCCTAGGTATAAATATTTGGTGCATTTTTTGATTACTTGGTTGCCTATTAATATCTCCTTCTCTATCCTTTCTTTGTTTGTGAATTTTATAACCATTGTATTTGTTTTGTTCATATTAAATTCTAATCTTTTTGATTCAGCTAATCTGGAGAATGACTGCATGATTTTTGTTGCTGTGCCACACAATCTTGTATCATGTCTCTCTGGATCCAAAATGTGGCAGGGCCATAGACCCATACCATTCTTTTTGCACAGGTATAGCTTATATAGTTATAGTACTAGTTATACGAAATTATAGTAAATAGTCACTGTGCAATTCACTCTAATAGTAATACTAATAGTAATACATAAACTAATACAGATCTACTCTATATTTTGTATGTACTTTCTGCGAGGTTCTTTTACCTTCTTGCTCAAATTGAAGTCTTCGTCGAACTGTCCCATGTCCATGTCATCGCTTGCAAACAGATTAGCTCCGAATGCGGTTGGCGCCGTCTCCTCGCTCGGCGTTGCAGCCGGCGTCTCAGGTGGAGAGCCAACGATCGCTGCCATGTTTCTAGTGAATACTAACTCGAATGCAAACTTCACTTTTTCTAGATATCTGTGATCAGGTTACCATGTGCGATCGCGTTCGCAAAGTTCCATTTGCTTCAACTCGTTACTCGAGTGTAGCCGGTTCCTGAGTGTGTGTTACAATTTACATTGTCAGACCGAAGTCCGAACAGCAAATAAGTGCATAGCGCTACGGATTTCACATTTTCCTCTACTACTACTAGGTGTTACTAGCTGACTTTAAATAACGTTTCTCATAGCTATGTCAGTTCCGTAAAGAAGTAACCGGCAACCGATGTTGCCACACATATATATACGTACACAAACAAGTTATTTCACCTTGTTATTTCACTGATTCACTCACTGATGTGGCCTTGTGGCATATGAAACAGCTGAGCATCTCAATGGGTGACGTCACCACAATACGACGAGCGGATGACGAAACTTAGCGGCACAGCTTGCAACATTGATTTCGTGTGTACACACACATACACACACAGGCGCGCAAATCCATTTTGAAATGTGGGGGGTACACAAGTAGCGAGTACGCGAAGGGGGGGTCTGAGGAATTTTAAAATTATACTTCCTCAGATGTGTTTTCTGCACGAGCAGGGGAGGTCCGGACCCCCTGGACCCCCCCCCTTCCGTACACGCCCGTGTGCGCACACACACACACACACACACACACACACACACACACACACACACACACACACACACACACACACACACAC